TATTTTTATAAAGAAGTCAAAGGCAACGAAAATGACTAATGGGCCTTATTCCTTCTATTTTCCCTACAACTGCCCTGTAGGGTGATTTTCTGTTCCTATCAGCAATAGTCAGCTGTCTTCAACAAGTTCACTATCTTCAATGGGAATTATGAGAGTTGTAGTCCAACACATCTGACACATACATACATAAACAGAAATTTTTACTAAACCTTAGAGCTAAGACCCAGAAGGTTTGAGGAAACAAGGTCAAATTTCCACTTGAAGTCCACATCCCAAAGAATCCCAAAGTTTGGTGTAGTGGTGAAGGTGCTGGCCTAGAAACCAGGAGATTGTGAGTTCTAGACCTGCCTTACCCATGAAGGCAAGTTAGGTGACTTCAGGTTAATCACTCTCTTTTAGCCCAATCACAGGGTTGTTCTTGTGAGGAAAACAGAAGGAGAAAGGAACATTATTTATAAAATAATAAAGGCAGGATTTAAAAACATCCATTAAATAAATAAATATTCAGGGGGGAAAACAGCCATTTCAGTCACTACTGATGTTTTCTGTTGGCATTTCTGTTAAAATTGTGCACATATATTTGCTAGATTCGTTGTGTTATATTTATTCCCATACTAATACATACTAGAATTCACCTTTAGGTTTCTGCTATTTGTAAAATATAATATATGGACACAAATAAATATAAAGAATTCACCATGTGATTAATTTACCATAAATACCTATCAGTAATCTGCATTATGAGATTATACATCTTTGCTTGTATCTTTTCAACAATATGCAAAACAAATATAGATTGATCAATAACGTGCACAGATTACATACATATTAGATTTTTTTTTTTAAAGGCAAACCTTGATTGACCCAGATCAGATATATCTTTCTAGACAGAAATGGAAGTCTATGGTGGATCCCATTGACAGGTAAATTATAAAAGGGTGAAAACAAATGTAATGAAGAATTGTTGGGGTTTTTTAATGTAAAGATGTTCGTGTTTCTTTTTATATGTTTTTTCTTACTATGAACCAAGCTATTCAGTGCAATATACATGTTTACCTTCAAATATCAAAAAATATACATGTTTACCCTCAAATATAAAAAAAAAACCAAAAAGTCGAGTCTACACATAGTTAAGCCATGCATGTATTGCCATATTTTGATCAGCAATACGTTTAAAATATCAGATCCCCAATAACTTTTAAGCATCTTTGTTGACAGTGCTGGTCCTTGTATCTTGCATGAATCACTGCCATTTCAGTCTTAGCATACATTTACAGGTCCAGATTCAGAACTACATTTGGCCTACAATATGCTTCTTCTTAGACAAAATAGTTCAGAACATAACACACAGCAAGGAGATCTGAAGGATATGTTCCTTCCCTTTCTTTTTTTTTAAGCACACGTGACATGTACCAGGAATCAAGACAGAAAACAGAAAGAAAGAAAGAAAGAAAGAAAGAAAGAAAGAAAGAAAGAAAGAAAGAAAGAAAGAAAGAAAGAAAGAAAGAAAGAAAGAAAGAAAGAAAGAAAGATGGTACCATTATTGAGATGGGGAAAATGAAGGATGAGATCAGCCAGGTTTTCCAAGCCAACTCACCTCCCTCAGCTGCTCCAGCTCCTGTTTGAGGACATCATATTCCGTTTCCAGCTCATCGTACTGCTGTTTAAGGGTCAGCTTCTCTTCCAAGACCACCAGCCCATATTCAGCCGCCTGGATCTTTTCATGGGTAGTCTCTGTCAGCTCTTTGGTCAGCCGCTCAATCTCCGATTTATAGTGATCCAGGGTCTCCAAGATCTTTTCTGCAGCCATAGCTTTGGAGGATAGTGGTGGCAGCGGAGGGGGAGGAGCAGGAGGAGGTGTGGGGGAGGAAAAGGAGAAAGAGATAGAGAATGAGAGGAAGAAAGAAGGATGGAGACCGATGGGAAGAAGTGGGAGGGAGGGAGGGATAAAGGCAGCCACACGATGGAGGGATGGAGAGCAGTTCGCCCTGGGATGTTGTTGGGAAGCGGCCAGCTCCCTCAGCTTAAGGCCAAGGGAGAGGATGGGATGCAAGATGAAGAAGTAGATGTAAGGGGAAGGAGTCCAAGGCCCCCCAAGGCTGCTGCACCATTTGTCCTTCGGCCGCTCCACAGAGGGACAGCATAATTGCGCTGTGGAAGGAGGAAAGGGAGAAATCGGGAGGGCGCCTGCTTCGTTGCCCTCCCCACCCCCGCGCTCAGTTTTTGCTTATTCAGAGGCACCGGTCCGCCATGTCTCCAGGGCAGCTTTCACCGCAGTCTCTCTCAATTGTCCACCTGCTCTCGCTCTCTCCCTCCCCTTCTCTCTCCCGGCTGCTGCTGCTGCTCCCGCCGCCGCCGCCGCTGCAGCGCCAAAAGGGCGGGGGAGATGCTGGAAATGCAAGTCAATCAATAAAGCAGCAGCCCTGGCTATATACGGTGCAGCTTCAGCCTCTTGGTCCCCACGAAATCGAGTGGGGAAGAAAGGGAAGGAGAGGGAAGGGGAGGGGAGGGGAGGGGAGGAAAGGAAAGGAAAGGAAAGGAAAGGAAAGGAAAGGAAAGGAAAGGAAAGGGGAAAGGAAAGAGAGGAAGGAAGGAAGGAGAAGGAGGGAGGGAGGAAAGGAAGGAAGAGAAGGAAAGGAAGAAAAAGGAAGGAAGGAAGGAAGGAAGGAAGGAAGGAAGGAAGGAAGGAAGGAAGGAAGAAAGAAAGAAAGAGAGGAGGGGGGAAATAGCCTATTCCCAAACAGAGCTGCGGAGGCAGGGAAGCGACCGTCCAAGAACGCCTCCGGTTGCCTCGCCCGGCCTCTTCCTCCCTCTTCTAAGAACGGCTGGGTGAAAGGACAGCGGGACCGATGACGGCGCCGCCTTTTCCTCCTCCTCCTCCTCAGGGCATCTTTCTTCCCGCACTTGTAACAAACGAGTAGGCAGAGAAAGGCTGCTCTCCTCTAGTCCCGGCTTTCTGCCCCCTCATTTCAGAAACCACCTCCAAGAAAGAGCCCATGTAGGTATTGTCACTAAGAGGATGGAGAGGATCCAGGTGTTTCCCTACCTGATCAGCTCCAGGTGGGGGTGGGATGATAAGTCCTCCTTATTTGAATAAATCGCAGGGTAAAGCACCCCACCCAAGATGGCAGTTGAGGCATGGACAGGGTTTGCAGTCTACTGAGTCCTAATATGATTGGTTTGGGCTTGGTGGGTTGTATGAACTCAGCTATTGGGGTTTTTTTTTCCCACAAGCCACAGTTTAACAAACTATATGGTGATGAATGCCAGGGATGTATCCTGTCCTGGGTTATATAAGAAAGGAAAAAAGTGGAAAAAAGGGAATTCCATGCTGGAGATTCTCAGGAAAGGCCATGAAAATTAAAATGCCAACCTTGCAATGCCCTTACAATGGAGAGACCATCCACATCTGGAATACTTGATGGCCACATTTAAAAAAAAAGTGAAGTGGGGGAAAGAGGGCTACCAAAATTATCAACCAGCTTGGAATACTTTCCTTAGGAGAAAATATTAGGATGGCAGGGATTTTCTAGCTTAATAATAAGATAGTTGAAGGGAGACATGATTGAAACATTTAAAAAAATCATACATGGCAAAGGGGAAATGGCCATGAAGGTTTTTTTTCTCTGTCAAAATCTTAAAGCTGTCTGGGGGGGACATTTAAAAGAAATAAAGCATTTTTTTCACACAGTGCAAAATTAATCTCTGGAATTCATTACCACAAGGGTAGGTTCTGGCCACTAAACTTGGATGCTTGTCAAATGCACTTGGATAAAGACTTGAACAGTCCAAGAAGTGCTACTGGTCTTAAAGACTCAATGTATCCTCTGGGTTGGAAGCAAAGATGCCTCCGAATTCCAGGTGCAGGAAAACAAGAGGGAAAGGATGCATCGACACCTCTTGCTTACAAGCACCATGAGATAGCTTTGACCCCAGGGGTGGGATTCAAAATTTTTAACAACCGGTTCTGTGGGCATGGCTTAGTTGGTGGCTTGACTTGGTGGTCATGTGACTGGCTGGGTGTGGCCAACTCAACATCACTCACATCAAGGCACGCATCTCCTCGCCTAGCCTCTCGTGACTGTGGGGATGCTGCAACAGTCGTAAGTGTGAAAAAGGGTCATAAGTCACTTTTTTCAGTGCCATTGTAACTTTGAATGGTCACTCCACACAAGTAAAGTACCAGCAGAGGAGGGGGGGGAAACTCCAGAGAGGTTCCTGAGACAGAAAGTCTAGTCCTGCCAAGAATGTAATAAGGGTTAACGGAGAGGCAGTTTCTGTAAGCAACACCAGAATGTTTTCTTCCTGCCTTCCTTACAGGATTAGGCCAGTAATTTCTTCTAACAACCGGTTCTCCAAACTGCTTAGAATGTTAACAACCAGTTCTAGCAAATAGGTGTGAACTGATAGAATCCCACCCCTGTTTGGCCCCTATGAGAAAGAGATGCTGTACTAGTAAGAGGAGTTTCAACCTGATCCATCATGGAGGTTCTTATGTTCTATGCCAGAAGTCTCCAACTTTGGCAACTTTAAGCCTGACAGACTTCAATTCCCAGAATTCCCCAGCCAGCTTCTGGGAGTTGAAGTCCACCAGGCTTAAAGTTGCCAAGGTTGGAGACCCCTGTTCTATGCAATTGTAAGTAACATGGCATATTGTTTAGACCTACTTAATCTGACCAACTTCAAACCAGTGTTCTATTTTTTCCCCTACTTCTGCAAAATTAGTAATGCCAAACATGTTATTTCTAATGGAAATATTAAAAGGACAGTAGAAAATAGAAAACAGAGTGGCTATCGGTATTTATGCCATCATAAAACATGATATTTTGCTTTGAGGAGATTTGTTTCCTGGCACCATAGCAGTTCCTTCATAAGATGCCTTCTCTTTTAGCCACATGACTTCTCTTTCACTCCCAAAGGTGTTTCCTGTTACATCACAGGATTATTCCCAATGCTGAATGACACACTCAGATAACCTTCATTATTTTTGAGCCTAGTAATCCCAAAGGTTTGTTTATTTCTGTGCTTATTACATAATTTGCCATTACAATGGACAACTCAACAAATCAACTGCTTCCCCACAAATGAATAAACAAGCCTGGATAGTCAAGCCAACATCTCAAAGAGCTCCCTTACTAAAAGCTCAACATCTGGTTCTCATTCTGCATCCCTTTTAATTTATCAGTACTTTATGAGTATCAGATAGCAATGGCACATAGATTTATATACAGCTTCATACTGCTTTACAGCAGTCTCTAAGCCAACATATTGCCCCCAACAATTTGGATCCTCATTTTACCAACCTTGGAAGACTGAGTCAACCTTGAGCTGGTCAGGATTGAACTCCTGGCAGAGAATCCGCCTGCATTCGTTCCTGATTTGGAGCATCAGTTCAGGATTCCTCTCTGGTAAACACTCCAGTAAAGCATTGGATCAGTGGTCTCCAAACTTGGCAACTTTAAGACTTTTGGATTTCAACTCCCAGAATTCTCCAGCCAGCTGGCTGGAGAATTCTGGGAATTGAAGTCCACAAGTCTTAAAGTTGCCAAGTTTGGGGACCCCTGCATTGGATGACCAGGTTTGGTAAGTTTTAAATGGGTTGCTAAGATCCATGATTCTGTAATGCTGTGTTTTAATTTCCTCTGGTCTGTCAAGATATAGGATACCAGATGCAGGAAGCAGGAGATGGCTAGACAAGATTTTACATTACAACAGTGTTGAATAACCTCTCAGTGTCACCCTACCCTACAAAGTCTTGTTGCCTTTTCTTGTTATTCAAGCAATTTAACCACATCCTTGGAATTGGGTTTTCCTACTGGTGCTTACTTCCTTCAGCTAGGCTTTTTCTGCTCCAGATTGATCCACTTATACACACCCCCTTATCTCAAAATCACTTTGCACAAATTATGCAACCTTCCTTCCTTTTAGACACCATCCTTCACGTAATCTTAATGAAGGTCCTTAGATGCAAAGGGAAGAAGTCTCGGTTCCAGCTTTATCACAACCCCTCAAGATAGTCCATCTTATGATATTGCCCCTGGTGGCTTCTTTGTAGCTGTTTACAATCTTGATCTTCAGCCACTTGTCTAAGTTACCAGATATACTTTGTTTGACCATATATCATGGCTCCCCCCTTTGCTTTCTCCTCATGGAAGTAAAACAAATATGTTAGCTAATTCAGGGGTCTCCAACCTTAGCAACTTTAAGACTTTGCTGGCTGAGGAACTCTGAGAGTTGAAGTCCACAAGTCTTAAAGTTGCCAAGGTTGGAGACCCCTGAGCTAATTGACAACATATCATCATCATTCTTTAATATAATGCATCACAGAGAAATACAGTATAGAGTAGATCATGCAAAATACCATATTAAAAAAACATCAAAATAGAGTTTCTGTCATGCCCCTGGTGGAGACTGACTCTAAGGGAGAGGAGGAACAGCTGACAGGGAGTAGAAGTTTGGCTCCAGAGGTTGTGGAGGAGGCTGGGGAAGGGCAGAGGCCGGCTGGGCAGTCAGAGAAGGACACAGGCCCATCCCCTCTCCATCCTAGGGCACGCAGGGAGGAGAGGATAAGGGAGAGACGTGGTCTACTTGAGAGGAGAGGGCCTTGATCCTCTTCATGGGCTGCAGCTGTGACAACTGGATAAGAGGACAGACATGCGTATGGGCGAGTGCTGGAAACAAAGTGTGGAAATATTTCTAGTTTATTATTCCTTTCTGAGTTTGGCATCCTTCCCAGTGAGTGTTCTGATATCTGTGGACGTCTTCAAGCCCTTGTCTTGCCTGGTTTGTGTTGTTTTTTACTCTTTAAAATT